ATGGATATCTTTGAGAAATGGCTTTCTTCTTGCCACTCTTCCATAGAGGCCAGATTTGTGCAGTGTACGACTGATTGTTGTCCTATGGACAGACTCTCCCACCTCAGCTGTAGATCTCTGCAGTTCATCCAGAGTGATCATGGGCCTCTTGGCTGCATCTCTGATCAGTCTTCTCCTTGTTCCAGATGAAAGTTTAGAGGGACGGCCGGGTCTTGATAGATTTGCAGTGGTCTCATACTCCTTCCATTTCAATATGATTGCTTGCACAGTGCTCCTTGAGATGTTTAAAGCTTGAGAAATCTTTTTGTATCCAAATCCGGCTTTAAACTTCTTCACAACAGTATCTCGGACCTGCTTGGTGTGTTCCTTGGTCTTCATGATGCTTTCTGCACTTTGAACAGAACCCTGAGACTATCACAGAGCAGGTGCTTTTATACGGAGACTTGATTACACACAGGTGGATTCTATTTATCATCATCAGTCATTTGGGACAACATTGGATCATTCATAGATCCTCACTGAACTTCTGGACTGAGTTTGCTGCACTGAAAGTAAAGGGGCCCAATAATATTGCACGCCCCACTTTTCAGTTTTTTATTTGTTAAAAAAGTTTGACACATCCAATAAATTTCATTCCACTTCACTATTGTGTCCCACTTGTTGATTCTTCACAAAAAATTTACATTTTATATCTTTATGTTTGAAGCCTGAAATGTGGCAAAAAGTTGAAAAGTTCAAGGGGGCAGAATACTTTCGCAAGGCACTCTATGATATCTGTGTTTTATATGATATATGTGGTTTATATGTCTAAAAAAGTTCAATCTGGTTCTCTGGACATTAGGAGGAACCCAGACCAGTGGTCATTCCGTATGTTGAGGGAGTATCAGATGAACTGAGACGTTTTTTTTCTAAACATAACGTCCCAGTGGCTTTTAAACCCCAAAATACATTACGGCAAAGACTGGTTCATCCCAAAGATCCAGTCCCCCGGCACAAACAGAGTAATATTGTGTATGTTGTTCAGTGTCAGGAGGACTGTGGTCTTACATCGGGGAAACTAAACAACCACTGGCAAAAAGGATGGACCAGCACAGAAGATCAACATCATCAGGCCAGGACTCTGAGGTCTACACTCATCTCCAGGTCAGAGGTCACTCTTTCAGGGATGAAGATGTTCACATCCTGGACAGAGAGGAACGATGGTTTGAGAGAGACGTAAAGGAGGCCATCTTTGTGAAAAGAAATCGTCCATCATTAAATGGGGGTGGAGCCTTTGTGTTCAACTGTCCCCCTCTTACAATGCTGTGATTGCTAGTATCACTCAGCCTCCTGTGAATAGTAAACAGCCATCAGTGTGCTAATGATCCATTGTTAGGCTGATGGTCCTTCTTGACCTGGTTCATTGGTTGACTGTTTTTAAGAAAATCTGGATATGCAGACTGTTACAGACACCATCTTTTCAGACCTTTCAGCTGCTGCATTTTGAACTGTGCCGCTCCAACCCCATGTTGATTGCGGTGCTTTATCGACCGCCCAAATCCTCCACAGGCTTCATCAGTGAACTGTCTGTCTTTCTCACTGCAATACTGTTAAAATACGACCGTGTGCTGATTCTAGGGGACTTCAATGTGCACGTCTGTTGCCCTGAAAAGCCTTTGGTTCAGGACTTTTTTAATCTGATCCACTCTTTAAACCTGGTGCAAAATGTTGTCGGCCCCTCACACTATCAGGGTCACACTCTTGATATTGTTCTGTCTTGTGGTGTCTCTGTGCTAAATCTGGAAATTGGGGATGCTGTCATGTCTGATCACAAACCAATCTCATTTGTAATACCTCTTGCTCGTGTCTCTAAAGCCCCTTATCCACAGGGCCCTTTGGTACTCCTATGTAACTAGTTGTGGCCGATTGCGTGTTTTATCAACAATGCCTTTAGCGGTGGAACCCACCCCATTTTTGGGACCTAATTCTCTGAGGTCCCAGGTCTGGTTCTTGTAGGGTCTAGATGTGACATCAGTGCACTGTAGGTCACTGATTGGTCAGGGGGCGTATTCATTGATGGAGGGCGGAGATTCAGTCTTCCACCGGAAATCACAATCCACCATTTTCTTTTTCACCCGCATAACAGACAACAAGAAATCGGAGGAGCTTATTTTGGAATATTTTATAAGGTAAAACAAATAATCATGGCACAACCGTGGTTGAATGCTGAAGTTCAGGCATTTCTCTGTTTGCTGGCCGATGAACAAGTGCAGAACGAGCTAGATGGAACGAAACGAAATGAAAAGATTTTTCAAGAGGTGTCTGCGCAGATGGCGGTGCAGGGCTTCCATCGCACACCAAAGCAAAGAGGAAAGCTTAAAAAACTAAAAAGCGATTACAAAACGATTAAGGACCACAACGGTAGGAGTGGATCAAACAGAAGAAACTGGAAGTGGTTTGTACAAATGGATGCCATTTACAGCAAACGCCCAGCCAACAAAGGGAGGGAGAGTGGCCTAGACACGGCCACTGCTCTTCTGGAAGCTATAGTTGATGGTGAGTGTATTTTATTTACTTTAAGCATATTTCCTTTTCCTCATGCAACCGTTTCTTTGCGTTTTCTGAAAGTACTCTGAACAAACGAGGCTGACGCGGTTACGTCGTCATTAGTTAGCATCATTGCTAACTGTACTCTGTTGCTGTTTTTCCACTCTTATTTTGATGCAGAAAGTCCCACTGAAGATGAAGGTTCGCCAGATTTTGCTTTTGACTGTCCAATCCTCCTCGCTTCTGACCCTTCCCGACCACACCAGCTCCAAGTACATCTACGCCACCGGGCACATGCACGC